CTGAAAATGACAGTGGGTAATCATTATCTCTTGCCACCTCATGTTTGATGCCTGGGTGTCCCTGTTACATACCTAATCACTTCAGTCATGATATCTATTTCTTTGAATTTCTATTCTGTGTTGTGAGATAATTCATTGCTCTCATCTTCACAAAGCAATAATTTAATTCTCAGTAGTGAATATCTTTTTTGTTTTCCATTTTTCAATCAGAAGTCATTATATATTTTAGTTCTGGTAATTCATTTTTGTGCCCCAATTATATCCTCTTGAGGGGGCTTCTTCCTTTTTTCATTAAAGTGCTGCACCATCTCTCCCACTAGAGTCATTTCAATCAGAACCAACTGTATTATTTGTTCAGCTGGGCTGGCTCCCTTCAATCTCATAGTTCCCTTAAGGATGTAGTGACAACAGCACCTTCACAGTCCAGTCTCTGGATGAATGACTGAAGTGGTGGAGGCTGCCAGAACATATTTTTCCTCATCCTTCCATTGTGTCCAATTCTTCCTGCCTGATTTCTTTCTTTTTTTTTTTTTTTTTTTTTGAATAGGAAATAGTAGGAATAGTATTAGTAGGAACAGTATTCAGTCACAATAGCTGTATGCACTTTGTATGACTAAATAGAATCAAATCAACTATTTTTTTAAAGTCTCCATTCCTAATCATTTAGATAACAGAGAGTAATTAAAGTCATGAAATGAGAAGCCTCTTTAATCATGTAAAGACATATACATATAACATCGGCCAGAAATCATGAAGACTTAACTGTGGAATCACTTCTCTGATTTAGGGAGATATGACCACTGATGGCAGACTCACATCACATGGGTTCCCACACTTTTTAAAGGAAAATTTCAAGGAAACTAACCAAATCCCAAAAGCAACTCTGCCTTCCCACACTCAACCGTGGTTTTACCACAAAGCAGTCTGCTTAACCCAGGAATAGGCAGATGCAGTCTTAACCAGGCAATGAAAAACAATTAAACAAGTGAATGCTCGAAGACAATAATATACAATGATAATAATGATAATAATGAAACAGAGATATAGGCGAAGTGGAAAGAAAAGTTGAGAAGGAAAATGGACTCTGCTTCTTTTTAGTCTGTAGGCACTCATGAGATCCTGTTCTACTTTCAGTGCTTGAAGTTCGATTCTGTTTTACATTGTTCACTTACATAATGTAGCCTCCTTTATATAATCTAGCTTGATTATATTTCTAGCAACCAATCTCAAAGTAAAACCCAAACCTAAGTTAAGGTTATTAATAATCTGGCGAAATTTATCATGTCTTCCTTCTTTCCTGACATTGTGGTTCAAATAGCCAGTCATCTGTTTGCAATACTCAAATATATCTAAATTCATCTCAACCACATCATCATGTTTTCTTTCTTTTTCATATAAACATACTTCTCTATCAATTTTCTCAGTAAAGAAGACATCAAGATTTACCCAGGTACGCAGGTCAAAAACTTAGTTGTTATTTTTGATTATTGTATTTTCTTCATAAAGCACATCTAATTTACTACAGTGATAGTTATTACTACTATTGATAGATATCCAGTTGTTTCCATTCTGAGGATATGAAAGGATTTCATTTCCTTGTCCCCTGGGTGCCTAACGACAAATAATGAAATGTGAGGAAAAGTTCTATGCAAAATTCCAATTGAGTCATTGCTCAATTGTTTTTCACCATCATGTAATAGTTAATAACTCACAGGGTAGAGTATCTTTCATGAGGGTCCTGACCAGCTAGAGTCCTCTACTGAGTCCAATGATACAGCATGGATAGAAAATAAACCTTTTCAGCTTTACCGTACTGTGTTTTGGGTACAATTTGTAATTACAGCATAAACCTGTCTACTCTAAGGGGTAACAATGCTTACCCTTGTTGACTTTAGTGTCAAAATTCTATACCAGATGCTGTGACCACTTCCTTTCCCACCATCACTGTATTCCAAAGTAACCTCATCTTTTCTCTGAATTTACAACACAAGTTTCCTAATCAGTCTTTCCTTTTTGCCTCAGACCACTCTCAATTCATTTCTCTAAACAGCAGCCAGACTTTTTTTTTTCTTTAAGTTGAATCTGATATCACCACTCCTCACTCCAAACTCTCAAGAACTTTCCATTAAACTTAGAATACAAATCAAAGCCTTTCCGTTAACCACAGTGTCTATGCTCTGACCCCCCCCCCTTAGTCTAAATTTTTCTCCTACTATTCTTCTACTCTTTTATCTCTTCTGCTACAACTGCATGGTCTCTGTTACCATTGTTAGTAAACAGTAAAGGAGTCCCCTCAGGGCTTCTTTCACTATTCACTTCGTTTGCAATATTCTACCTAAGACCACTGTGTGGCATGATTTTTCTTCCTCCCATCATATACTTTATTTGTCCCAAGACAACTACATTAGCTAAAACTACTACATCACTCCATCATTCATTATGCAGTTATGCTGTTTTATTTTGTAAAGTACTCTTTGAATTTTATTTTTTAATTTGTGTTTCCCTCTCCCCAGACTATGAAAATCATTAAGAAAGGATTTTGTTTTTCAGTTTTCTGTCTCTGGTATCCAGAAAAGTGCCTAGTGCTTATTGGAATTCACTAAGTAATTATCAAGTAAGCAAATTAATGAACAAATAGCCTCAACTACCAGGGTATCAAAACAATACTGCATTGAAGAGAAAATTGAGTAAGAAATAATAGCTTTTCATAGTTTTTTAAAGGAAAGAAAAATAAATCAAAATGTTGATAATCAATATATAGCTTTTACAGATGTCCTACCATTTAAAAATCTTTATTATGTAAAAATTAACTTATTAAAATGGTTTGAATTAGCCAATGTATCTTGAAACCAGAAAGCTTTCAAAAGAGACTCCACACTGGATACTTATCACAAACCATTAAGTATCCTTATGTCTCAATGAGGATTATCTAAATTTTCTACAAGGACCCCAAGAAACAAGCAAGAGGGTTATGAAAGCAAGAACAGACACAGGAACACAATAAAGAATTCAGGACAAAACCTATAAAGTAGGAACCACTAAGGCTAACAAATTTTTGAAGTTTACTTTTTGAATAGTTCAAAGAGAAGCCCTCAGGGTTATTTTAGTAGATATGATGGATTTACACCCAAAAATGCCAGCTCTGTTATCAACTTTTATACATGAAACAAAATTTCTGCAAAGCAGATGGTCCAAGTAAAGGGTATTTACTATTACAAGAGATAGTTTAGCTATACCTGCTTTCAAAGAGACTGAAATTCTCTCCCTGGTTTCAGAAACAGTGCAAGGAGGAATGACTGTCAGAATCAGAAGAACTGAATCAAATTGCTGGGTCTGTGACCCTGAAGTTTTAAATATATCACTTAACCTTTTATCTGGATATGAATAGGGATACACATGACCTGTTCTACGCATTTCATAAGATTGCTATGAAAATAAAAATATTATATATCCAAGATTTGCTTTGTAGCTTTTAAACAAATTCAAATGCATTTTATTCTGCTTCTTTTTCAAAACAAGAGTAAAAGAACATACAGCAAAATAGACATGCTTATCCATGTGGTTTTTACTTTAATTTGAACTTAATGTCCATCCATGTTTAAGAGATGTTACAATTTAGTAATCCTAAGAAAGTGTGGGATCTCCAGTGATATGGTCCCCTTGTTCTGAGAGATACTATCCTGGTGCCTAGAGTTCCTGCTTCTCAGCAGAATATAGGGGTCACTCAGGAGGCTTCTACCCAAGGGCCAAAATCCTGGTATGAGGAATATCCAGGCAAGCCAGTTATCTGCTGGAAACAGCAGCAGTTAAGAGAGAAGAGGACTTGAATAGCAGGAATAATGGTGCCCCTGAGGCAATAGCTCTTGGTCACTCCACAGGAGCTCACTATACCATCTCCAGGCCTGAATGTCCCCTACACTTTGCCCTCCTTTGTACTCAATGCTAATCAATAAGAGATTGTCTTTGGGTGGGGCACACATTACTTTGACTATAGCCCTTCTAGGCTGTCATCCCACATAGATTTTGAGTAAACTTCCCCTATCCTGTATACACCATTTCCAACACTGCAGCCCCAAAGGTGGTAAGAGACTGATACTATATTTCATTTAAGACATAGGAACACTAAGAAAGCTATTTTTTATTAGGTAACTACCATCACCTGTTTGTGTACTCAAACATTTCCAAACAATCAGTTTACTAGCCACAGAGAAAGCCAAATTCATGGCTAATCACATAATAATTTTTTTATAGCATTCATGTGAATATTGGAGAAGACAAAACAAGAAAAATGTACAAGCTTGTACATTGTATGAAATCCATTTGCTCTTATAATACATAAATTGCCAAGATCTGAACTCTAAGTCTCCATATATTTCTTGCTGTTGTGTTGCTTTACTTGAGAAAGTTTTCTCCTCAATAAATACAACCCAAGATTTTTTTTTCAAAAAAGCAGAATATGGTGTGTTATGCATACCTTGATGGAAGCATTAATTATCATTAAAAAACACTGATCAGGATGATTTAGCTATCAATTATACAAGTCTACTCCAAACTCACAATCAGAAGCTATTTTATGGAAATGATTAAAAATAAAAATGTCAGTTTACAAAAATTAACTGTATACCAGAAATCACCTGTCAACAAAGATAATTTAATATTTTATGGAAAATAACAAGACTAAACCCTACTATTAATGAAATCCACTCTATTCTCTTTTACACATAAAGCCCATATTATCTAAAGATATGAAAATTATCATAGGTAAATGAAACAGAACACTCTGCTCCTTTATCATGAAAACCAACCAATAAAATCCCTTTAGTCAATTAATTACAAGAAAATATTTAGTAACCCAAGTAATCAAAATGGAGAAATGTCAGCTAGCTTTGGCTCAATGACTTGATCTACTTGATATTCAGAAATCAATTTATCAGTGTTTTTCGAAATTCAGATCAAACTGTACCATCTTTAATGTTTGCTGAATTGTGTTGTTCCCCTACCTCGTGATGATTCTTGGCCAGCCACTCCTTAATGGTGCTGAGGGCAATGATTGCAGCAGGTTCATTTGGGAAACCTAAGTAAAGAGCAGAATAAAACAAATTAACAAACCCAAAGGGGTGAACAACCCAGAGAAATAAAGCATGGCATGGTTCTGGATTTTTCTTTCTTGAACAGGATGTAATCCAATCAAATTAGTAAGGCCTGAGCAAGATAAGTCTTGGTGAAGTACAGAAGTATGTGAAACCTGTGTTCCTACACATAGAGCAACAAACAGACTTGTCTTCTACCCCTCCACAGCTACAAAGCTATGAATGACTTAAATGCCTCCACAATTTTACAACAATATCAATTAAAATATACTTACATTTGTTTAATAGCTTTCAAAATACTTTGTCTTTTAACTTATGTTCTTTTATTTATTTTGCAGAAGAACTGGGGTGTAGATCAGAGGTGCAGGGAATGAAAGGATTCACCAGAGACAAAGCAGGGAGCTGAACAGACAGACTGACTGATATACATAGCTGAGGGGAGCAGCGGGTAAGACAGCAGAGGTCTGCTGTGCCTTATGTGGGTTAGCAACCTGGCCGGGGATCAAACTTAGGCCATGGCAGTGACAGTGCTGAGATTTAACCCCAAGCCACTAGGGAGGCCCCAAAGTACTTAAAATAATCTTCTGATAAGAGGTGGTCAGATTAAACCTTACTACCCTTGTGTATCAACCAAATAAACTTGACACAGAGAGAACATATGGCCAACTCAGGTTACAGGTCAGCAGTGTTCTATCAGTGAGATAACACAAGGCAGGGAAAACTACTTGCCAAATTATCAATAACAGTAAAAACTATTATCAGAATTCAAAGAAGGCATTGCCTACATTGTTTAGGGTCATTAGCCATTTTCTTGGGGGAGTTTGGAATTGAGAAAACATAATGGACTTGATTTTGTAATGTGGCTCAGTTTAGAATGAAAGGAAGTGTGACTCAGTTATACCATGTTGAGGGTGCATGAGCACACACACTCAATTTCTAAAACTCATCCAGAATGACTGAGGTTATATAAACCAAACATTCCTGAACTTGCAGAATCATCACATTCTGCCAAAGAGATAAAAAAAAAAAAAGTGAAAGGATAACCTTCTAAGTTATATATTTACGGAGAAGAGAAAAGAGATTAAAGTGACTGTACTCATGAAATTGCTCTCTTCAAGCTCACCACTGGCTTCCTAATCACCAAATCACAGTCTTTCGGTCAGTCTTCAACCTTTCTGTTACTAGATGTGCTTCACTGGTTTCATATTTCTTTTTATTTCATTTTTAAATTTTTATTTATCTATATATTTTACAACATTTTTGTTTTGTACATTTGTTTTCATTTTGGTTGTAATCCTTGTAGACTTCCCATCACCACTTCACCCATGTGCCATCACCACAGTTCCGTGTGCTCTCCCCATCCCAGTTTTGATCCTACTCCCCTCTCCTCCCCCAAAGATTGTCTCTGGTTTATAGCTGTTAGTTGATGTTCATTTTTACTTCATTAAAATTACTAAATTATATATATATATATATATATATATATATATATATACACACACACACACATATATGTACACACACACACACACTTCCCCCCCCCCAATCCTGTACACTCCAGCTATGAGTGAAACCAACCAGCATTTTTCTTTTTGTTTCTGGCTTGACCTTGATCTTTCCAGTCCCATCCATGTTGCTGCAAATGGCATATCTTTTTTTGATTGCTGAGTATTCCACTATATATATATCACATTTTGTTAATCCAGTCATCTAATTTTAGGTATTTGGGTTGGGCTCAGTCCACATTTCAACATCTTCTACCTCCTGGATTTTGGTCTGTTTTTAAGTTTACTTTTTATTGTTTTAAAATATATAATTTAGTGGATTTTTAATGAGTACATAAAGTTTTGCAACCATTCCCACTGAATCAAAAATATTTTCATCATCCCCAAAGAAACTGTAAACATAATTAGTAATTCCCTAGATGTTTCCTGCTCCCATCCCTTCACAAGTAACAGTCTACTTTCTGTCTCTATAAATGTGTAGATTATCCTGGATTTTTCAACATACTTTCTTCCATGTCTCCTCCTAGCAGTTTGACATCTCCTGGCTCCTTTTTCAGGGAGCATCCATTAGATATATTATTCCCTACATCCTAAACTTAATTATCTTCTTCCTCTTCATTTTAGCAAGCTGCAACATGGCTGGGAGGCTGTCTCTTAGTCAGGAGCTCTAATTGTGGCATTGTCTGTTCAATGAAGAGAGAACTGGTGCTCAATGGAAACATCTGAGACTTAAGGGACCTACTTTTATTGGGACAAATACATAGGACACTCATTCATACTGATGATTTAAAATTTTGTAGGTCTTCAGGAAAAAGGTGTTAGAGAAAAGAACTATGAAATTGGATATATTTGTATCCATTTCCAAGAATAAATTTGCTTTGCCAATTAGGTTCCTACAGCCTTTGCTAGAAAGTAGATTACAAAAGGAGACAAAATTAAGCAGTACCAAACACCACTTGGCCTCTGTCATGAGAAACACTGTCATATGAAAAAAGTGTCCAAGTTGTAGAAATCTTGTAAATTCACCTATGACAGCTGAAGTTGTGGAATTTCTTTTGAAAATTGTCATCACATTCACTTTCCTTAAAGGAATTCCTCAAAATGTAATATCCTTGAAATTAGAGGAAAAAATTAAATCATTTAGCTAATTCATTAAGCTACTGGAAAAAACCTGCTATAGGGATATTTCTAATGAATCTCTGTCTTTAAAAGCCCAAAGTCTTAGGAAGGAAACAGACAAGTAGCAACCATGATATAGCATGATAAGTGAATGAGGGGTGTGGGAAGAAAAATGAAAAATCACTAAGCAAGAAACAGAATACTTTCCAGGCAGCAATAGAAAGTTTGGGAAAGAACTATGAGCTGATGAGCTGAGTAACTATTTTCCTAAGACGTTAACTATGAACATCAAGGGATTAATGGAAAATGGAAGGGGAAGTGAAGGGGAGAAGAAAGCAGATGAGATCCTCTGGGCTGCAAATTAAAAAGGCTAGAATGGGCACTTATGTTTAGGGGTTGACTGGAAGAGGCTTTTCAATCCCCTTCTTCTCAGACCTTAACATGTGTCTCTAGCTGGAGAGCTCCCTTTGTGCTCTAGAACCAGAAGCGCAACGTATATTCTACAAAATCTAACACTTTCTTCCTAGCTATTATCTATGACTTCACCTCTTTCCTGGTCATATTCATATTTTACTGCTTCCCCTGCAGGTAACTGAGTACTAAAGTTATTGTCTTTTTGAAATATTTTATGCCATCCCTTCCATTCCTTATTTTTTCATTGAAATCATTCAAGGTTTGATCAGCCTTTACCCTGACAATTGCTGTTGACTCATGGGGTACTTTTTGGCCTTTTATCCCTTCTCTAATCTAGCAAAAGCACCATTTTCAAGTGATTCTTTCTAAAATGTAGTATCATCACACCACAACCTTACACAAAACAATTATAGCCTTTGTTGACACACCAGTGCTGCAGAATAAATTCAGCTTTAGCTTGACATTAAATACCTCACAGCTACTCCAGGTTTGGTTTTAGTTTTTTTTTTTTTTTTTTTTCCCATTTTTCCCCTTGTAATTCTTCTCCAATTTTTAAATGTATTTAAGTAGTATGTAAATCATGAAATTATGGTGTTATAAAAATGTGATAAATAGTGTAATCATGTTTACTTGCAACTGCCATCAGCATTAACTTTTAGAAGTAGTAATTCCCCACACAGAAATGATACAACCTCTCATAGAACTATGGCAACTATAGGTATCAATTACTTGTGATGTCATGCTTGCTTTCTTATATTCATCAAAGCCTCTGATAATGAGTTATGGTCTTCAACTTCACTTCAAGGCTTGCCATTACCCTGGGTGATTCTGACATCCAAGAGGATATGACCCACTTAACACCTGGCCTGTTGATTCATTGACCTGATCATTTCTGACAAAAATCCGCCCTGTTAGGAAAACTTCCTCCCCCCAATTCACCCCCTGTAACTTGATGCAATGCTTGCATTCCAAAATTGCTAATTTAAGCAGCATGGTCTTACAAACTGTTTTCCCTTTAATTTGTTCCTTTACTTTCCAAGGAATGTTATTTATGGATTGAAAGCCTACTCTGTCCTCAAACCTCTCTTCAAATCAATGACATTTCTCCTCTGAATGGTCACACTTCTTCTATCTCCTGCTGCATCACTTTTAGCTTTCTCTACTCTGGCAAACTGACCTTCCTTCTGTTCTTTAAATACTTCATGTTCCCTTTTTGCCATCCTGCCATAAGACTTTGACTCATGCTCTTTTTTCTTCTTGAAATGACAAATCTTTCCTCTTTTTCCAGCTTAATTTAACTTTCATTTGCCCTTTGCTCAAAGATCACTTCTCTAGAGAATCCTGCTCTGACATTGATGACTCAATGTTTTGTGCCTTCATAACGCCATGTACCTTTCCCCTGCAGTACTCACAGTTGCACTTTTATATTTATTCATGTAAATATTTGATTCATAGTCTTAGAGTGAAATCCCTGAGGATTTAGAGTGATATCCCGAATATACCACATCTATTTTCACATTATCATAAAAGATAATTGAGAAAATATGTGCTTAATGAGTGAATGGATGGTGGGCTTGATGATCTATTGACAGCATGGGAAGGTTAACAACTGGGAGGACAAAAATGTTTAGTTCGGGTGGGAGGGCGAAGGGGTTATAAGACAATGTACATGCAGATCAATACATTCACATTATCCTAGTTCATCCCTGAGGGAAAACTACTGGGGAGATGTACATGAGAAGACACAATTAAAAGATGGGGGAATTTCCAAATAACCTTAAAAACATACATGCTTTCAGTGGGCATGTGTGTGTGTGTGTGTATTTAGTTGGCATATATATAAACACACACACAACTGAGATGATCAGAGTAAACAGCAATAGCACAATTCTTTGTTCACTAAATTCCAAGACCACCAAGAGTTACAAGAGCAATGACTATACAGG